GTACAGGCAGTAGAACAGAAGTAGAAATTGCATTTTAATATACAAAAGGAAATGAAAGATGGAGAAGGATTAAAAAAACAAGGTTAATAAGCAAAATGGGTGTTGCCTCTGCTTAACCTAGTATTAATTCTAACTTGTTTTAACAAACAGTCCATGTGCTGCCTTAACATCAACATCTCATTTTTTGGAAATTTTCACTTGTTCCTCATTTTGCTTCTACGATGATAAATTTTGTTTTCAAGAACAATTAAATGCCTCCAGCAGAATGCATCTATTAGTAGAGGAACACCCAATAACCAGCATTCCACACCACCAAACAGCATTTCTGCCCTGTTCGTTTCAAGAATGATGGAAAAATAAATGATGGAACACTAATGCTTGCTGTCTGACAATGAATTTACTTTGTGAAATAAAGAAATTTGAGTGACAGGCAAGAGGGAAGTTAAACACAGAGCAGTAGTTACAGCCTAAATCAGCAAAATCCTTTTTTGACATTTTGCAAGAAACCTATCTGTTAATAAGATCAACAGATTTTTAATCAAGATAATTAGCCTCATCTTCTCCCATTCTTAAGTGTTTAAAAAGAAACATCTTAGGCTCTCCTTACCTTTAATACTTATAAAGATTCAAAACATAAGCAAAGAAACAGAGTATGTTGCAAAATGCAACCCTTCTTGGCTCATGTGAAAGGATTTTTTTCTCCTTAAAATTACCTATGCATTTAAAGATTACTCTATCTATTACTCTCAACATTTCACTAGAAACCGTCTGACCTTACTTGTAGTTTGGCTGCTGCCTCTGTTTCCTCTATTTGCTGTAGCCCTACAGAGGCAGACAGGGAGGAGTGCTGGTTCCCTGGCTGTGAGCAAAGCACAGGGAAAGGAACTCTTCTATGAAGGCTGGAATACTTCAGTGCCCCAAAGGCATCAGTCTGACATGGAACATAAGCAAGTAGTAACTTTGTCAGCTGAAGAATAATCCAAGGGAAGTATTTAATAGGTCTGTCTGGACCTCAGCAAGTGAGTGTCAAAAGTCTTTTTGACAGATGAAGTCAGGCACATGCAGGCAGTCAAACTATGCAAGATTTTCAATTTCATATTGACCACGTGTTGACTTTTCATTAGAAGATTCCTAAGCAGTCACCATATGAGAACAATGTGACTGAAGTTGTCAGTCCTAACACAAGTGTTTAACAAACATCTTAAGAGAGGGTTTTTATCCCTGAAACAAGTATTCAAAGGATCAAATAATACTTGTCACCAAGAGTCAAACAATTGGTAAGAGTAAGAAAGAAACTGAGAGAAGTTCCATAATGCCTCAACACAATTTCCTGCATGACCCAGTACAAGCACCAGTTCTTATCAAAGCAAGGAGCTAATTGAGTAGGTTTCCCTGATCCCTCTAAGCTAGGAATCCAGCTTTGTCTCTCTCTGAAGGATTCTGAGTTCCAATAGTGTTTCTGCAGTGAGGATCATAGAGTGAAGTGGAGGGTCAATTCAACTACACACTGTGGCATGTTAGCCCACAAAAAGAAAGCCTCAGCCCAATTCTCCACCCTTTCTAAACGATATATCATTTAGGTTACATAGGTAAGCACTGCAAACATGCAAGAAAAAAGCCAGTTAGTTCTGTCCTTAAACTCAACTTCTAAGTTCCTCAGCACAGCAAACACTGAATTGCTAGCACAAAGGTGTAGAAGTAAGTGAATTTTTTGTAATGCAAAATGTAACTTTTTTAAAAAGATACATACATCTAAATCTGCTCTTAAACCAGAGCAGTGAATTCCAAGCCTGTATTTTGCTACAGATACCATCCCTTATTGCCATAATTATCCTGCAAAACTTTAACTTTCAGTTATGAAAAAATGTCTCCTTAAGCAGGCATACCACCAGAGAAGATCTTGGAAACCTAAGTAGGTGTGAATTCAGTTTTAACAGAAGAGGCTGCAAACAACTTGAAATGACAGCAAACATCCCCATTCAATTCTCTCAAGAGAACCATGCAAAGTAGCAATTTGTCATGGACTTTGAGATTTTGCTAAAGCCAAATATCTTGGTTTCCTTCCTGCTCTGCCAGGACCTGCCTGCAAGTCCTTTCTATTCCTCAGTTTTCCCCCTGTGAGGAGTTTGTTGGAATAGATGAAGGAAACAAGAACTGGACTCCAATTTATAATCAGGAAGTCCACAGAATCAAAAATAATGGGATGCAAGAACAGCGTAGCAGCTGGATCAGCTGCCTGAATGACACAGGGAAGAAATAATCTGAAAATTATCCATAAATCTCACAAGCTTACATAATTTCAACACGGAAATATGTTAAAAACAATTTGTTTTAGTAGGCCCAGGTAAAAGTGTTAAAGTTTTATGAATGGAATGAGGGCTTGATAATATTTAGACATTTAGATTAAAAAGCCTATTATTACCAGCAATTTTTATTTATCTACAATTTCACTAAAAGAACGTCATCTTTCCTGTAGTAAACAGTGATACTGAAACTTCATGTAAAGTCGTTTTGCTACACAAACAGACACTTACATTCTCTCTGCTGGTTCATAAGTTAACAGCAAGTACCACACTTGAAGTTCAGGTGGGTACATCAGGGAACTGAGCTGTGGGCAATTACTGTTATATTTTCATAATCTATTTTCAAGGTTTATTTTGTTCAGCACAGAACAGACATGAGTAAGTACAGTAACAGTGCAAGAGCAAAACCTGAGAGAAAGATGAGATCCAACAAGAAAGGGAGGCCACTATCTGACATTTTCAAAGGGCAAATCGAAAGCAATCAACACCCAACAAAACGCTCAGTGTCGGATGAGGTGATAGCTTAGGATATACTTAGGATACTGTAATGAGACTAACAAGTGCTGTGTGTTTTAATGTAAATTAATACAAGATAATCTCTTCACATATTTAAGTGATGCACTTCAAATTAATTAATACATATTTAATAGAAGGCTTCTTGAACAGCTGTTATTTACTTCTGGAGTTTCTACACATTTGCACTGCCTGCTTTGTTCTGCACTGAAGTTGGTTCATGCTCCAAAGTACTTTAACAACTTGGGCTGTAAAAAACTGAATAGTCTTCCCAAAAGAGACAGCCTTTCTGATAACTTAATATTTTTTACATTAAATATTCAAACACTTTCTGAACAAAAGGTCAAATTCTACTGACAGCATCTGTGTGAATCAGGCAAGCAGATGCTTAATGCTGCTAGACAAACACTTTCAGAACAAAGAATAATAAAGAGCTGGTGATCAGTCACATCTCCAGGCTTTAAAATCAGCTTTCCTTTACTTTTGTTCCCTAAATTCTGCACTAACCATTCATATGTAACAATATAAACCCAAACTGTGGCCTGCTCCTTCCCTGCTACATAGTGGTACATTAAATGAAAACCTGACAGTGAAAATGCTCTCTACAGTATCCATTGCATGCTATGAATGTTATACCAACTTGTTAGGGTTTTTTTCTTACAAAGACTCCTGTGTATGACATTGGTTCACTTAGACCTTGCATACAGCATTGGAGTAGTTCTCATTTACCACCCCCTTTATTCAGATGAAAGCTCATTTGAGTTCCAGTCACTTCTGAGTTTTTGGGATCTGAATGAGTTGAAAGCAATTCAAGAAACATGCTGGTAACACTTTTCACACTCACAGTGATGAATGTGACTTTTGGCAACTGTAATCTGTTTCTTTAAAAATCATTATCAACACTGAACAATCCTTATCAGTGTTCTGGAATCACCACTATGTTAACGAAACTAAAATTCTTGAATATCTTTTTGCCTTTGGAAGGAGGATATATCCTTTGTTTAGAAAAGCATGGGCACTCTGCCAGCTGACAAAAAGTGTGTCTGCATACTTGCTTTGATATCTACAATATAATGTTCATTAGCATCAGCAGATGCCTGATGCATAGATGTGTAGGAAAGAGACGAGATCCCAGAAGACAAACTTGCTCCCAGTCCCACGGAATGAAAACATATGCCCACTTTTTATAGAGCCATGACATAACAGGTATTCTTTGTGTTATTTTAAATGTTCTCAAAGCTGGAAGATTAAATTCAAGGGGGATCTCTTACAACACATAAAGGAAGACTGGCATGTTCTTCCTCTATATTTTACAGGAAAAATTAATTTTTTTGTTTACCTGTCAGCTTTGGCAGAAAGGTTTCCATCATAATTACACCTTGTGTATTGGAAGGAACCTGGCAGTTAACATCAGTAATACTAATCTGGAGAGGTACAACACTGTAGAAGCTTGCTGAAAAGTAACAATAAACCTTTATTAAAATTTCCAATTTTTGCAAAAACATTTTGACTAAATTCCAACACTACTTAAAATGTAATTCTCTAGTAAGTACTGTAAGTAAATCAATTTCCCAATTATCTTAAATTTTTGTATGGTAAACAATTACTACATGTTTTAATAAATGCACAATTCTAATGAAAAAATAACGATATTGAAATTTAATAGAGCCCTTCATTTGAAGAGATGAAAATGCTGAACATTCATTCATTTATTATGTCTTATAACCCTTGTGTGATGTGGGTACCTTTATCATCATTTTACAGATGGGGAAACTGAAGGGCTAATTAACTTGTCCAATGTACAATACTCTTAGCTGTAAACTTAAGGTATCCTATTGTACTCATAGGCAAAACAAAACTCAGCTCACCTGTGATGAATATTTACTACAAATTCTTAGACTCCATAAGCATTTTTCTTATAGGAGAGAATATATTACACAAGCCTTCAGAGAGTTAGTTTTGCATTGGCAATGGCTTTGGGTGCCACAGAGATGTGATGCCTAGAAACAAACATGAGAGCACCAGTTTATTGTAAGGAGTCACCATATTTCTCAGCTAGTTATGGGATGATGTATGTTTTCATTTAATGTTATTAGCCATTCAAGGCCATGTATGCATTAATTCTCTCTGATGTATCATACCACACTGATTTAGACACCAAAGAAGTACCATTTCCTGACAAACTCATTCTCTCAGTTTACTTATGTGTTCCATAAACTTCTTTACTCGGTCAGGATCAACATGATTTGCCCAATAACCTTCTTTCTTGAAATACGAACCAATTATTAGAGCGTCTGCATCCAAATAATTCGTCACATTTTCCAGAGTCACTCCAGACCCAATCAACACAGGAATCTTCACAGCATTCTTAACCTCTGAAGAAAACAAAAATTATTGTTAAGTCCCATCCTTGAAACTCTGTAAAGACTCTAATTTGCATAGTTTTTCCACAATAAAGAAAGGTGAGCATGAAGACACTCATGATCAAAGTATTTCTTCTACTAGAGAATGAAAAAACTTCAAGGAAAAACACCTTTAGCTCTAAATAGCTGTTAAGAAAAATTCCACTTTTATTTTGCCTTTTGTTGTATGGAATGCTGCAGAAGAATATTCTTGGCCACATACCAGAGAATGGTTTAAGTGCTATGGAAGATATGAAACCTGGGTCTTGGAAACATCGCTGTAGCCCTCTTTTTTCTCAAGAAACAGGATCTAAGCAAGATTAAGTTGAACTGGCTGGCAAAGTAGGTACTGCATTTTTCTATATTGTGCCATAAATTCATTTTTATTCCACATCCAGCATCTCTTCTTACCAGGGATGTGGAATATTTGCACATCAGGACCAGACCCCTTTACTTACTGTGATTGTGACCATCATGCTTAGAGGCTCCGTTGTGCTTCCGCATCCATGGAAAGAAGCTCTCATTTACTACTGTGTTGCAGTAGCACCCAGTATAGATTCCAGACAAACCAGGTCCATTGCCTTGACAGAAGATTTAGTAATGCTGGAGTGACCATATGGACTTCCATGCCCCACATGGAGTTTTAACCGTGTTCTCAATTCCCCTCACCTTAAGACATAAACAGTCGCCTCTCCAATCTTCCCATGAAGTTATCACAATACAGCTAACTGATGTGCCAGGTCTGCCAGGTCTCCTTGCTGAATTTATGCTATGTTGATATGCTATGTTAACAACTAGTAGATGATCTTCAGTGAAGAAACAAGAATGGCCTTATTCACAGGGGATGGAAAAGGAATGTGCTCGCCACTTAATGATAAATTTCAGGGACTCAAAAGTAGGAAAGCAAGCAGTGGTCATATACACTGTATTGACAGCTCCAGCTAGTTTACCAGAAACCAAAAGAGCACTCATAAAGATTACTTCTCTTCCTATAAATGGCAATGGAACAAAACAAACCAATTATGTTTCTATATACAGTATGTGTTCCTTGTCTGACTCTTTACCTGGTTCCAAAAGGAGAAAGACAAAATATCAAAACAGGGCTCAAAATACTACAGATTCATTTCATTCCTCATGCACAGAGGTGGATTTCAGTCCATGGTTCAGGTGATCTCAGTCCCTGTGAAACACATCGTTCTGACAGACCTGACCGTGCAGAAACTGATCTGTGGCTCAGTTACTGTAGTTGACATTTTTTAGAATGAAAACAAAAGTGGATAGCTCTTTTGACCAAGAAAAGGTTCCCCTTAGATAAATAAAAGTTTATTATAATTTTTTCTGCACAACCTGAGTCACTACTACCCACAGAAAAAAAAAAATCCCAGTTGAAGAATTACAAAGCAACCTTCTCATCCCTTCATTTCATACTGACCATCCTAAGAGTCACTCATAGGACTGAATGCTTTACCACTTATTAAGAGAAATGCCTCAGAACATTATTTCTGACCTTTAAAAACATATAAATTGCTTTAATTGGTGATAATCTGATGTAAAATGGTTAGAGCTTGAGGTAACTAGGGGAAGCATATATGCAACATATAAAAGTCTGCTTCAAAAGACTTTGTTTAAATGAAGTTTCATCAGAAGCCTAACTTATTAATTATGCTTCAGGGAAGACTAATTATTTATCACCTTCCTACTTCACTGAAGGGATCAATTAAAATGCTCTTGAATCTCTTTTTAGGTCACATGCCCTACCATTTTTCCATCTAGAAACAATAACTTCTTGCAAACATTTTAACACAAAAAAAATCATTCCACAATATCCTTATTGAAAATTTTTAGCAAATCAGATGGATCATGCATACATGATTAAAACCATAGTTATTTCTATATATATTTTATATTGTTATAGACATCCTGCTTGCAGCAACAAAATTATTCATTTTTAGTTATTTATAACATTATTACTAAAATTCTGTTATAGAAAAATCAGAATTTTATGTATATAATATCTAGGTGCTCTTAGAAATACATCTGCTTTACATAGACACCAATGCATAATTAAGGTGCTACAACTGACCCGAGATTTGTGCAACAGCACTTCACAGTATTCCCAGAGGAACTACATTCCAAGTCAATATTTGGTTTTATGACAAGTGCATAAGGCACATTTGCAGGTAGTTGTTTTACAATTATTTCACATCAGCAGGAAAAACGATGAGCCAAATAATTAAACAGAGCATGATCACATGGGTGTAAGAAAACAGCTTAGCCCGTACCAGCCAAAGAGTAAAAACCAGTGAAACCGGAGACTGCTGTGGAACTATGAAAACCCCCAAAGCTTTCTGAACTTGCAAGGTATCCAACTCCTGCTGTGACATGTACATGACATGTGGAGTCTACACACATCTCCTGTGCTGGAGATTTATTTGGATTGACAATGTGAAGAATGACAATGGGAGTGCTCTGCAATGAGACTGGGTTACCTAATTAAGTATGCTACAAGTGCTACTTTTAAGTCATTTCCAAGCGCATCAGGGCCTACAGTTGACTAGTGGAAGGTGATTTGTCTTTTGGCTGTGTTAGTGTGAATTCTAACTTGTAAAATAAAATAAAGCCACAGTGGTGAGATATACCGTTGCATGGCAATATTCAGTCACTGTCAAGATGTGTCTGAACAGAGCTTTAAATCTCTCTCACCTTTCATGGATTTCTTCTGATTATATTTTTGACACAAAGAGAAAAGGAGACAATTTTGTGATGTTACAGTAACAAGACTTAAGTTTACACATCTTGCACATTTCTGTTTCAATAAGCTGTAACTAGAGGGCACTGTGCTCTTTCTTGTGACAGTACATCTGCAGTCATGTCTTCAATAAAATCAAATGAAATAGTGTTTGGTTGCAAAGCACCATGAAAGCATTTGAACTATGGTATGCACAAGTTCCATGAAATAAAGGCCAAATGCTCCTAGCTTGGAAACAATGGCAAAGAGCAGCGTAAAAATAAGCACCACTGTGCCAATAACTTGCTCGACTACTCTTCAACAGCTTTTTCCTATGTAGTAATGACTGCAGCGTGCAGCACTGTCACAGCATTATGTTTATGTAACACATTTTTTAATTCAAAGGACTTTTTCTCTGTCATTAAGTCTGGGGCTTACAAAAAGTGCAGATCAGAGACTCCTATCTCCTGTTTATCTTGACGAGGTATCGCAAAGGCAGCAGCATCTATTTTGACCTAATGTACCATCAAAAGGTGAAAGGGCGAATGAGTTTTAATGCCACTTTTAAGAACAATAACTAAGGAGGTGACAGTCACAGCCAGCTGTTGAGTTTCAATATGTACCCATTTTCCACGGGTTACTCAGCTGAGGCCATATACTTTGTTCATATAGATAACTAAGCAGTCATTATACAAAGCTTTGATCACTTAAAATACAGCCTGAATGTGAAGCAGGTATTTCAGCAGTTATATCAAAAAAGAAAACCTGACAGTCATTCTCCAACCAAGGAACATTTCACAGTGTAGCAAACTGGAGCAAACTTCTATAACCTCTTAAATATAAATACAGATTACTTAATAAATTAATTGTGATTAAAATTGCTCAGCTATAATTTCTGCTCCTTAATAACCTGGTCTGATTTTTAGACCTTGTACTCTGCCAACTGATGGTGTCTGGTACACCCAGAGCCCAGCCTGCCAGGCACTGCAGGAGCCACCCTGATGGCTGCCTACATGGCAGTGACACCAACTACAAACAAAACCCTACTGAACACAATTCTCTAGCTTGACAGGGAGACATTCACTTCCCACACCCCATCACAAACCAGTCAATTCAAAGGCAAAAAAACACTTGTACATTACTAAACAAAGCTCAAGAAAAGACATGACAAAAATCTCATGTCTCTAGGTTCTGCTTTCAAGAGGTGCTTTGCAGTGTGATGAAAGGTGCCCAATTGTGTGTGTCATTGTAATACAGCACCTCCAGGGCTGCATACATTCGTGCAATGCAAAATTTCACTCCCTTCAACACCAATTTTGTAGACTGTATGTCTGATTCCTTTTAAGAATCTGCTGACATAGATATGCCTCATTTGTCATTTCCTTATGTGCTGGAACATTGATTGTGAAGCTCTTCTCCCAACTGTTTTAGGCTACTGACCTCCTTATAAGAGGGCCTGCTAATGTCCAAAATCCTGTGACTTAAATAATATAAATCCATGATCCAGAGATTCTTTTCACAGCAGAAATTCAACCACAAAATTAATGAGTACTTCATCACAGCTGCTAACTCTGATTAATTTTGTTCTTTGGACCCATAAAAAGAATAAAACTGAGGCTGACATGTTTGTTCACGTGAAAGAAAAGCAGAAGCCATGATGATGTCTGGTTAGAGTCCTGTGGTAAAAAACCTATGGGCCTAGAGGTCAGGTATTGCTCTCCTATGCAGGAAATCAATGGAGGTTGCCCATATATGTGTGAAAGCAGAATCCAACCTAGGATTTTGCCCTCAGACTTGGCAAATCATTTTTTAAATTATTTAATCTCCATTAAGGCTGGTAGGGAGGAAGCATCAATTGCAGGCAGGGATGGAGCTCCATATTAACAAAATTGTGTAGTCTCAAAAATAAATCTAGCTTTCAGAGCCACCTATCATTTCTAGTTTACTGTACCAAAAGATCTGAGTAGTTCAAGAGGTCAATATTCATACAGAAACATTTTTTGAAGCATAATAATTTATAACACATTTGGAAAAAAATTAGTATGTATGAAATAAAACACCATTGTGATAAGTTCAACAGTAATTTAAATGCTGTGTAGCTTGTATGATTTAGGTAAAGCCCTGAAAACACTGAATGATTTTGTATTATTTCAAAAGATGTTTGTAGTCCAAGTATCTAAGGCAAGTAAATTATGGTTTTCAGCCCCATCAGCTAACGTAAGTTGAATACAATTCACTCTGCTCTGGAACTTTGAAACAAGCTAAATTCAAGCATGAGAGCAAAAATGAAACCTAAAAAACAAGTTTTATGCAATGAGGCCCTCAAATTCAAGCCATTAATCTAACCTAAAATTAGTGATGGAAATCAAATGCCATGATAGAACTGTAATTTTAGCATGGGAGCAATCCATTTGCATGAAGACAGCCCAAACTTGAGCCAATATAAAAATATGAAGAATCATATAAAACTTTTGCAAAGGTCAGAGCTCACAGGTCAAATGACTCCCTTGATAAAAAAAGTTCACATCCTATAAAAATTATTCTGATCTAGTAGCTTTCTTTCTACCAATCAACTTGTATTCTTTCTGCAAAACTTATAAACAGTATTTTCCCTAGTATTTCTGTCTGGAATGTTGCCTTATCAAAATGCCTCTTTTCTTACAGGACTTCCATTTTCATTGTTAAAGATAAAAATGCTTAACTCTTCAATGGAAAGATTTGTAGTTAGTTTTTCAATAATCCTAAAGAGTAGCTTTTTCTTCTATCAAGACTTTTCAGAAATTGAATAATCCTTTTTTGTACATATTTTACATATATTTTTTACATTTTTGTTTAAATTTAAGCCTCAGCATTATTCAGTGGTATAAAAGCTTGAAATAATTTTCATTTTTGTCCCTCCAAATTGTTGTTTAGAAACATGAGAGGCAATCTCAATAGCACCTCAATCACACTAGTTCTGCTGTATCAAATCAAACCCTACAGGAAGAGTTTTTCTTCCCTCTTTTTTTTCCCCTTAAGCAGATGTATATAATCTCTCTACATGACTCCAGAAGCTGACCCAGTGCCTGTTGTCTGACCTTCATATGGCAGCTCTCACCTTTCAGCTCCTGAGGATGGGCAGGCAATCCAGTGGCCGTGCCAGTCAGTACGACCCCGTCAGCCAGGAAGAACTCGGCGGCCGCCGCGGGCTCGGCCACGCCGACATCGGCTGTCAGAGCATGAGCGCTGCAAACAGCAGGAACATGCCCTGTGGTTACTGTTGGCACACACATTTGTTATCCATCTTGTTGAATGGTTAGACTGCATTTCTTCATCTTCCCTGCTGTCAGAACAACTGAAGGCAGGCTTTGGGAGAGAAGGTAGGAGTCCTGTTTTAAACTGGGAAGTAAAATCGCAATATGAGCAATAGGAAAAAACTCAACCTTTTCCATCAGGGAACCATAACAGATTGGTCTGTTGCTCTGGGTCTCATGTCTCTGAAGAGTGATTGCTAAGTGTGAACTACCAAGTGTCAACTGAGACAGCTGCTTACACATCAAGCACCTGACTTCAAGTGGGAGTTGTGGATGTGCAGTCACTCATAAATCAGCTTCTGCTGCCTACAACAGAATTAACACCCTCCACTTCATTTCATGAGGTGCAACTAACAGAAAGTATAGTTATTACCTATGATATAATCACAGGAATCATCCTACACAGCAGCTACAAACATCAATTACCTGCAACCTAGCTTTTCACAGCAGTCTTTGCTGTATGGGTGATGTGCTTTGTCTGAAACCTAAAGCAATAGCAGCTTTAAATTTAAACTGTTCTAAACTTTGAAAGAATTCCAGCCATGGCTTGTTCAACACCTGACTTTCTTGGTTCTATATTTTCTTTTAAGTAGAAAATAATGGCTATGGTCAACATGCTGCACTGATGAGTGGTGATGGAGCCAATCTCTTTCCTAGAGCAGCCTGGAGAGACAACATTCTGGGGGGGACATGCTCTGGCCATATTCATCAGCCTTACATGTGTGCAGTAAGTTCCACTCATAGGGTGGATACAAAAGCAAGCACACTAGCTCCCTGTCTGGAGAAAGGCAGGCAGAAGTACCTACTACATACAATGAGGTTGAAATGGAGCTTAAGAGTAGTAGGCACCCTAAAACCAGCATGTGGAGGGTTGCTGTAACACAGCAGGCAGGCTACAAGAATAGCTATCCCCCATTAAAGCACAGGAGGCTAGCAGCTCTCAGTGGCAGGAACGTTTTTCTACATTAAAAAACTCAACCAACAAGTTCTTTCACATTTCCTTCTCAGCTTATGAATCTGCCTGAAACAAAGTTTTTTTCCTTTAGTAAAAAGCAAAGCTTTTGAACAACAGGAAGTAAAATCCAATCCAACTATCAATTAACTCTCAAGACAAAGCAAAAATAAATCACATGATGCAGTTTTTTTTTTTACAAAAAAGTCTAATGCAATATATTTATATATATACACATGTATAAAGAAATCATTTGAAAGAAATAACTCAAAGGACTTTAAATTAAAAGCCTAATTTGACCACACTGCATTATTTCCCTTCTATTTTGAAATTTATTACCTGTTTATTATTTAAAATCTTCCAGTCTCAGTTATTCTCATGATTGCACACATACTACACAAACATTTTAATTAGGTTACTTAGCATGTATAATACATAACACTTGAGCAGATCTAGGGGAAAAAAAAAACAAAGAGTGACACCTAAATAGCTGAAAGAACCATGTGACAGTTATGATAAAGTATCAGCAAAAAAGAAACTGGATTCATCTGTCATAAGTTCCTTCTGTTTGATAATCATACAACAATCTATACATAGACAGAACTGATTTATGTAGAAGAAACCAATATTATTGGCAGGAAGGAGAAAAAAGAAAACAGCTTTTTAAAATGCCAACATATTATTTGGATGCTTTTCTATGGCAACTGCTTGCACAACAAAAAATAATCTTAGATGCCCAGCCTCCAGAAACAAATTTTCTTTAAACATTATAGGCATATACACAAGTATACAAAATACCAGATACAAAACTTCTACAGACAGCATTTATAAACCCTGAAGGTTAAACTGCAAACTTCACAGATGCAGCAACCTGCAGCTTACAGGTGCAAATTTATTTTTAAACATATCCCCTAACTGCACTGCAAGATCATGCTTGAACAATAAAGTTCTCCCTGTATCATTAACTTTCCTGACACTAAAAAGGCATTTTTTAAAAATGAGAAAATGGAGAAAAATATAAGATCCTTGTTACATTCAAATTGACATAAAATATTGCTTGTATTTACCTATGTTTCTTTTTAATATCAGCAAAAATCTGAATGTTCTCTGCTCCAATCTGTTTCCTGTATCGTAGCAGGTTACCTGCACAGGCATTTATAATCCCTTCATCAGCAACATGAGAAAACACAAACCCCTCAGCCCGGATAAAATCAAGACCTGAAAAAAAAACAACAACAAAAACAAACCACAAACAAAACCAGCATTATCTTATAGCTACAACTGAAGACTGAGAAACAGAAATACTAAAATCAAACAAAACCCTACCTTACTGTCCCTCTTATTTGATCCCACTGCAAGTTATTACTATTGCTCTAGGACCAACAAACCTTTTTCCACATATTTAAGTTCTATGTTTGTTATTTTCACTCATGTTCTCTCCAACTTCTTTCCATCTTACTACCTTCAACTTCCATCTCTCTCATAAAGCCCACCAGTTTCCTCCCTTTTGCCAGTTCCCTTCTCTTTCTCAGCCCCTATCAGTCTGTTCCAGTGTGGCTCAGAGAAGGCAGCTGCACTCCCTGCCCTGCCTCTTGCCATGCCATGCCAGTGGGCACATGCTGATGGAGGAGCAGGAAGATCCAAACACAGCTCCCTTGTCCTAACGATGTGTCTTCTCTCCAAAGAGATTCATTAACTTGGGTCTCTCCATTCATATATATGGCATACAATTCTGTCCACTTCTTCCCCAACATCTGTTCCCCTGTTAAATATGCCTGCAATTGGCCATCAGGTCCAAAAGCATTAAGGACATGGACACAGAGAGGAAAAGCATTAAGTCTTCTTTATTTAGGAAATCAGGCAAGAAAACAGCCTGTGACACACAATACACAGCCTGCCTAATTCCAGCTGAAGCCAGCTTGTGTTTTCTACACAGCATCACATCAACAAATGACTCCTAAGGTGTGCCAAAGGTACAAAAAGATAAGGTTTGCAAAAAGAAAAACATTTTCCACTCTATTCCAAACTTAGCCTGACCCTCAACTCTACCATGTCTTAGCAACATGGTTTCCACCACATTAACTAATTTTTTGCACTAGGGAGGCTTTATGGGATGGATACTTAAAAGGAAGATCATGAATAGCAATGACTTCACACAGTCCATCCATCTACTCTACGGGACCCCCTACACAGCCTTGAAATAGCTGTGTTGCAATTCTGAAGCCTTGGGGCCATGATGTAATAAGCCCACAGCTGTGAGGTACAAGACTGGAATCTGACTCCCTTATTGTATTCCCATCTTCTCTCCAGTCCTTCATAGCCTTGAAGTCTATTTCACCAGTCACTTAGTATACATGTAAAAGCTCTGCACTCATCTTGTACACCTTTTACTGTTCTTCCAGTTTGCTGCAGAGGTCTCTCCCAAGACCTTCTGAAGCTCTGCTGCTGCTCCAGCTTTGCAGTCAGCTGCACGTTTAATTAGAGCTGATATCATACCAAGGACATGGATGCATGTGAAAGCAGCCATCCAGAATGCAACCCCACCCATCAGGGAACTGCTCAAGCAACAGAGTACTCACCTTCCTACATTTCAAACATAAACAGAAATGATCTTTCAAATGTATTTACCAAATGACAATGTGCCTGTTTATTTTGAAATTTCAGTTTCATTCCAAAAGCCCTGAAGTTGGAGAAACAGAAGCTTATGCCTGACAGAGAAGAGCCTGCATTGCTTAGCAACACAGACTCCAGCTAGCAAGAAACACCACAGATGGATGCCAAATCAAATGCAAGCTGTCCCGTGCCTTGAGATTAGTAGGTGAAAAACATGGAGCATTCCCAGGATCCAAAGACAAGAGTGTGCCACAAGTATTGCTGCAGGTGCTGGTAGACACCAGTTAATAAACACTGTGCAAATTGCTAGATGGAGATTTCTGCATCTAGGAACAAAAGCTATAGGTTCTATTCAAATTACCCAAGTTACAGTACAATTCAGCGTTAAATAAGAAAAATTACTTCTCCTCTAATCATAAGATTATCAATAGGTCTAGAGATATGCCAAATTCTCACAGTAATCACGTGTAACTGAGGATAGGGGCTATTTATTGAGTAATTTCATTTACTGAAGTCACTGCTTAACATGTTGTTTGTTGACACTTGCTTAGCTCGGGCTAATTGATAAACGTCTCCACACTGGGGGGGGAAGTCGCGAAAACATCCTGACAGCCGGTAGCCCCCCGGTACCGGCTCGTGACAATTTCCTTCACTTAGTAAGACTTTCTGCTAAACATTAGCATTGTACTTAGTTTAACAAGGCTGCACTTTCTGAGGTTTTTTTGAAAATACAAATCTTAACCAAAGGTAGTAAATATAGGCACCATACCATTACCCTTCTGCTTTATGAAGCCATAATCAGATTCTGCTAATTAATTCATTTTTACGCTCATAAAACTTTGATAATGATACTATTGCTTACTTTCATATTTGGCAAGTTGAAAAGTAATAGCTGTTGAATAGTTAATAGGCAGTCCCATTTCTGATTTATATGGGAACAAAAAAATTTTGTATTCTCACTGGAAAACAGAATAGGAAATTTCCAATGTAACCTAAGAAACAGAACTTCAAGACTATATTAAAAACAAGGAATCAAGTAACCAGCCACTGCAGGACCTGCTATAGAAACTAGAGCTTGTCTCTTTCAAAAGTTGTCACTCCACTTATTTTAAGCCTAAACTGCTTTACTGAAAGAGCTGTGAAGGTCTATAATTTGCAGAGAAAAACTATTTTCTTTCCTTCCCATAATTTATTATTTAAAAAAAGATACCGAAACACTTATTTTGCTGGGTAAGAAAATACTGCAAGACTGAGCTAAGGGAGGAAATAATACTTTTAATTTATCCATCTTAAATGCTGCAAATGTGTGTATCACTGCATTTTAACACCCCAAAACTGAATTGGATGGAGTAATGGAGAAGCCCTTTCTCAGATATGCTCCTCTCTTCAGTTAAAAAGGCAAAAGGAGCCAAGAGCTAGGATTTATTACTATCACAGAAATGGGATCTGGCCTCTGCAAGGCCGCAGCTCTTGTTTGCTACTACATTTTGAACTTCAGGCAAAAACCTTTGCCTTTACACAAAGCCAAGATGCTGCAAGTAATTTTACTGGTGGTATCTAGTTTTATATATGCCATAAAACCTGACTCCCAGGTCTTCTTGCCTCCCTAATTCAAAAAAGATTCTGAAAGACTGATTTTGTGCTGAAAATGAAAATGCTGGAGTATCAGCTTTGCCTGCTGTTGATCCTAGAGACATACAATCACCATGCTGTGAAAACCCTTTACTACTCAGGACACAGTTTAGCAGCAGCTCCTTCCATGCTCAGCATGAACTACAGGACTGGGAGAAGTGTTTCCTGCAGAGTCCACAGCACTCGCTGCCTTGCTCCACAACACCTGCAGATGCTCCCAAGGCATGTGCATCCCTGCCTCAGTTCTCAGCTTTGCTGCCTCCCTCCCAACACAGCATTAATATAGTGGCAGTTCAGAAAAAAAGAAAAGCAGTATGCGGTTCTGCCCCATTCTATCTCACCTTAAACAGCACCATGGGCTATAGCAAGTGAAATCCCATGGAGGGTATCTCTGCTGGTGGATGAAGGGACAGTGAGCAAAGCTGTGTTTACAGAAGATACAGGAGAGACCTGGATACCTGGGATCTCTTCCAATATGAAACCGCACTTAATCAACTACCAACTGTGTCATTAGCATTGATGAAGACTAATTTAGAAATGGAATTTCAGTAACATGACCCCTTCAGGGAAAAAAGGACAGTTTCAGAGTTAGGTGGAGATGCCGTGGGACTACATGTTTATTTTAAGCCCCTTCCAACTGAACTATTCTGATCTAAATTTATAAGAGAAGACAAACTTAAAAACTGAGTTCTGATTCATGACAAGTGTAACACAGGCTCATCCAGGTGCAGGGAAGCTACACCCTACAATGGAACATATAGTCCTTGCTCCCAGGCACCCAGACTGAGGCTTTGGCCAGAACACAAGGGCATAACTTGCCTCTGGCCCAGGTGCTCCCGTTTTCCACCACAGGGAGTCAAGATACAGCAGGGAGGGATACCTGGCATACCAGAAGTGTTCCTGTACATCACTACAGAGATACAGCTGTGGGGACTGTTTTATGCCTGAAAGATCAGCAGACAGCCAGGACAATATTCCACAATGGCAGTAATTCTTGAAAAGCTTTTCACCATTAACTCGTCTCCATTAGGTTAATGATGGACCAGTTATTTATTTCTTCTCAATCACTGTTACATGTTGGTAATGGAAAGCATGTGTATATAACAACACTAATTCTGGAGTGGGCTAATGTTGCTGTATCTTCCCTAAGAACAGTGGGAAATCCAACAGTATTCAACATTACCTCTTGAAATCAAAAGTGAAACAACAGACACAGTGACACTGGTTTGGGGGGCAGGTGAAGGAAGAAATCAGTCCCTGCAGGGAGGCCCATGGCAGGAGGATGCCATAGCCTGCTGGATGGATACCCCTGGGGCAACAGGCTCCTTCAGCCCTCTGTGGTGGACCTGTTGGTGTGCTGAACCAAGAGCATTCAGCATTCTGGTGTAACAGAGCAGTAACCTCTTGGAGCTGGGAGGATGTCAGCAACAACTGTTTTGGCTTAATAGTTGGGTTTCTGACAGAAACTGCTTGTTTCTGTCAGAAGAGTGGAGTTGTTCCCTTTTTCCTCAAGATCCCCACTATTTTCCTACCACTGCTTAAACAGGCAACACAAACACGTTTTTGCTGGCATTCCTTCCCTTAGGTGCCTGATTTAATAAATGTTTCCTAAAGAACCAAAGTTAAAGAAAATCCCTCAACCTTCTCAGAGGCTTCATCCCTTCATTTATTACCTTCTGATATATCCAATATCTTGCCAATATGCTAGGAAGATGCAGTAATTCCATCTGCTACTATGTGGCTACCCACAACATGTTTATCAGCATAACCACATGTTGCTGATGTTGAACTCCTTGTAGTCCCACCTGCTGATTTTTTCCCCCCTTTAAAAAATAAAATCATTACCTTCACCTAGACACCACTTACAATTTCCACGTGCTGTTCTCTTCAGAAGTTATTTCTACAAAAGACTGGAGTTTCCACAGGGAAAATGGAATAACTGCATACTAGCAGGAGATGCTACATATGCTTTCTAGCCAAAACACTTTCAGCAAGATTTTTTGTAGTGAAAGCATACATGGCTTTCTTTCTTACAAGCCACCTATTTAAATTGTATTGACATTAATGTCACTACTAAGTTGCTATGGAAAAACCAGAGATTAGCTACCTACAAAGCGCTCACTTTGTTATAGTTTTGCTTAAAGTGATTTCCTTTTTGCTTTCCTGTTCAGTGAACTTCAGACGATCGTTTTTAGAAAAGTGCAATGAAATGCACTGAACACAGACCCTTCCTACCTGACATTCTCCAGTTACAGAGCAAATAATGCAGAACAGTAGTAGAGCTGAGCAAAACCCAGGCCCTCCAGGAATTCTCTCCCTCATTAATAATTGCTGAGAAGAGAAACACATTGTTCCTACACTATATCCCTTATTTAGTGATCAGTTTTGCTCCTAAAAGAATGTATAACTCACTAAGGGTTTGACTACTGCTTTTTTAAAATAGGATGTATACATATATTTATAAATGCCTTTGTACCTCAAGTATCCTACAGACATACCACCCCAAAACCCAAACTGGATTCTGTTAGCATTTTTAGGTTTTTGTATATGTTCTACTGCAACAATAAAAATTTGCCAAGTAGCTAAATACCTCGAAAATGGCAACTTCTGATTTTAAGGCACCCAAACCAAATCTGAGTTAAAAGCACAACTATTAGCAGGAATTCCCCCAAGAAAAAGAAGGAATTTAAGACTTTTAGAACACATTCAACTGAACTAAAATTGCAACTGCAGATAAGCCTGCATTATTTTACCTGAAGTATGGATTTCAATTAACATTTGCATCTTTTAGTTTTGCATTCTTACAAAATTCCGCCTGTTTATAAAGCTCATACATTCAAAAATGTGCAACCTTACTGTAACAACATATGCAATCTAGACAAATTGCAAAAACAGGCATTAACCCTCAATTTATGAAGTATTTAGGAAGTACAAACCTTCCATATTAAACCTGGCTCCATCTTTAAATCATGGAATGTAACATAGGAAAAAGTAAAATTGCTTCATCAAGAAGTGGGAGCAGAAAGGTTAGTAAGTCTAGGATTCATGCAATAAAGATAGATTAATTTATATTAAATCCTCCCAAATGCAATTTAATTTTAAGTAGTTTGGCTAGCTGTACACTCAATTTTTGTTATTATACAAAAAGCTTCATTCTATCCATTTATCAAAAAAAGGCAATGAAAACTTAGTTTTAATGGATAAGAGTAGTAGCAACAACATATAATTAGATGCTGAAACAGAATGCTTAACCAGAGCGAGTTAAATTGATCCTCAAATATAATTTAAGTGAAGTAAATAGAGTTACACCAAAGGTGGCTTTTAGACATGAGTAGGTTTAAACTAATCATTATATTTAGACAGGTTTCACCTAGACAGCTGCAGCAGCAGCCTTGGGATGTTTAGCTGCCTCCAACTGAAGCAGCACAGAAGTATCATCTATTATAATCAAGCAGGCATCTTTCTCAAAATCTAATTTCTGCTTTTTTCAGGGTACAGTGAGCTTCTCATGTCTCATTTTTCATGGTATCTATGTTAGTACAATGCACAATTTGCAGAGAGTAAATGCCATAGCAAACAACAGGGATAACTGATGAGTCATTTCTACTACCTGCAGCGAGAGCGACAGCCACTGCCTCCTGGTTTGCAGCAGACAGGACCTGGACACCCAGCGCCAGGCGCGGGCAGGTTTGTCTCACAGCAGCACTAATGACTGTCATTGCAGCAGTGACTTCAGGCCCAGGACACACCATATAAGGAAGATCATGCATGTTCTCTACTATCAAGCCATCCTGTGAAGATTATTACATAGAAATATGATTAAACTGGGAAAAACGTAACTTAAAAAACACGGCTAGTTTCCCATTACGCTGTTCTGTGTTAAAAGACACACGAGCTTTAAGGTTTTCCTTCAAAGGGAGGATTGTCTACAGTAAGTGGTATCAATCCATACAACATACAGCCTCCTCTAGAAGTGCTTTCATCAACAGCATGGTGTTTGGAGGGAAATCATGACGAGAAAAAATGTGATTTGAATTATACATTCATCAGTTTGGTTTCCTTTGATCCATCCTAAAATTTGAACTATAGGCAAATGAGTTAAATCTTATACCTCATTAAAAATAGCATAAAGTCAAATGTCAGTTATTCAAGTGGAATACAGGATATTGAGTATGTTTGGATAACGGAGGATTTAGAGATAATCAAGGCAATTTTAAATTCAATCAATATCAGAAAATAAAAGTGTTATTTTGGATAAAGGAATTTTCTGTTTGACTATCACTATGCCTATTTTCAGTATGCCTAATACCACAGTATTACCTATTTATATTTCTCCCATTCTGCATTCAGAATTACGTGAAGAAGATACTGCTATTTATTATCTACTATACCTTCCACTCCACATGGATGTACTCTTAGCAAACAATGGAGTGATGATAAAATACTCTGCTGATAAAATGTATGCAGTTTATTGAAAAACCTTTGTACATTATCTGGTACCTTGTACTTCTCCAATCATTATACAGTATATATCAGAAGGTTTTCAACAATTGCAAATGATATACAATTTTGTCAACAACTAACAAAAGTATAGCCTTGAAACATTTCAACAGTGATGTTTTGCATGTGCCGTGAGCATGTTAAAAGAAGCTAGAAATAAAAAATTCCAAAAGTTTAATAGACAAATTAATTGTATATATAGAAAAAAATTCTGTTTTATCTGGAGTTTTATCACACATCTTAAACCTTCAAAATGAGAGGGTTACATTTGAAAGATACTATAACTGAACCAGAATAGAAAGAACATTTTGGAGGAAAAAATACAACCAGAGTTAAACAAAGAAGCTTGGTTAATATTAACATAGAGAACCAGGAAGCGGAAAAAAAGGTTTCCTTTTAAAAAGCTTTCATATGTTATGCTTCTTTAATCTTTGTGGTAGTGTAGAAGCCCTTTTGGCAGTAGAAGACAGTATATAAAATGCAGTCAGCATTTAATGGCTGAATTACAGGCTAAGCCTCAGACATCATAAATTAACACCTAAAATGGAGAACAAGGAATATTGAGAGACGATATCACCCGGTGGAACGGTGTGGTCAGTCCAAGCACGTGACCCACGCACATTCAGTGCACCAGGGTCTAGCTGCCTCGACTAAATGACTTACAGACCAAATGTATATCTACATACACAAAATACGTGCTACCTTAAAAGCAAAAGGGCACACACCTATTAATGGAGAAAGCGACCTAAGTTACGAGCACCCAACCTTAAACCTTCAAACTATTTGGTGCCATTCATCAGCATATTTAATTACAGAATTCCAGTCCAGGAAAACCTCAACTAGGCAACCAGATACTGTAGCTAATCAAAACATCTGTCATTGATTTTGTTTCTACATCCAGTTCAAGATATAATTTATCATCTACACTTCTCTGCCTGTGATGGGAGGTAGCTGTATGATGAAGATGACAAGCAACCCTCAGAAAACCCATTTCAGAAATGCAAAATATAAATCACAAACTTCTAGTTGGTGTCTTTGAAATGAGGTCAGGACTATTTCCCTGAACTGACCAAATGTACCTCAGACACAACTACAACACAAAGAGAAATCCCTTATCCTCTCTGCACACATAAGTATACTAAGTCAGTCTACACAAAAATGCAGTGTTGGTCAGTATTAATATGTACCAACAAGATTAACATAGAACTATAATATTTTAACAAGAAAACCTAAAAAAATGCCATGAACCCTCAAACCCAGGTAATTTTTAAAGGCAAAACCTGGAAGCCCTTGCTCCTTGGCTCAAGAATACTCTACTTGGCAGACTTCACCAAAAACCTGGACATCTGTGAAACTCCAAGCTTATCATAAGGACACGGAGCTAGGATCTGCAAACCAGAAGCTCCAGGCTTTCAGGGGATTAAGAATCAACCTCAATAGGACACCCAGGAAGAGAAGTATCTGGGAATGGGGCTTCAGATGCTCAACTCCTGAAAAGCCACACTAGTAGCTGAAAAAAGCAGAACAGGCTGGCAGAGTTCCATGTGTAACTGAGCTTTCTGTGACTTGCTACTACTTTGAGAGGTCAGGATTTGTATAAAACAAGTTATTCCATGAAATACATTAATTCATTCATTATTTTAAAGATTAATTAAAAACTCACCCATGCTTCTGTGCATAAAAAGCATCTGATTGAATTCCAGCTCAAAATGCAGGCATATGGGAGGAATCCAACAACTCCCTCTTCTGCCTTAAGCTTACTATATTCAGTTTTCAGCAGTTGCCTCTCCCTATGGCCTCAAAGTCCACAGCTACAGTGAATATTTTTGGTAGTACTTTAATAATGTGTTATTCTTCTAGTAGCATTCGACAGACTATGTTCTTTTGCATATTATGTTTTGTTTAATTGAAAAAGAACAACATATGTTCTGCAACACAAAGAACTGAAGACAGATGCATTAACTCAAAGCTTTCTTTCATATTTTATATAAAAATGTAACACCACAGATTTCTGTGTTTACTGAATTGATATGTATAGAAAACAGACTTTGGGATGATCAGACAGCTAATTAAAATGGTGGAAACAAAACAGTTATGCTAAATTAAAGTTTTTGGAACTTCAGCTTATAGTTTGGAAGTGTATGGGAACAGCTACACCCTCCAAAGCAGGATTTATTTTGATAGCACAAGATAAAACTCTAACAAATACCTTGTGTTCTTTTTCCATTAAATAAAAATATTATTTGTCACTTATATATAATAGCTTTATTTTAAGTAATTCTCAAACAGTATCACTTCTTTTTACTTTGAATGACATCTGAAGTGCTACATATGTGCAAAGTGCCCCTTGTATCACAGCTTGCTACCAGAAAATAGATTATTTAAATAGCTGTCTAATTATATAGAAAAAAAAAATCCTTAGCTTTATTCCACTTACAGAAATGACCTCTTAGAACACTTCAGCTGCACACACACATATATCACAGCAGAAACACCTCAAAACCAGTCACAACACTATAAGCCACAATAAGTATAGCAATTAAACAAACTTTTACTCAGTATCCACCTAACATAACTTCAACCGGGGGCAACTTTGTTTTGCCAAATAAAAAAGCTTTATCTATAAACACATCCACACTAATACTAACCTTTGCAAGCTTAAAAGAACTACTCTTTCCTACAGGAAGGGGGATTTTGCTCCCTAGCCATTAGTGCTCAGGTGAGTACTAAGACAATAACAGTATTTCTCACCACTGGTCATGTGCCCCTTATAAAGGAAATCAGGTGCTTCTGTAGAGCATTTATTGGCTGTGTCTAGGCACAGCTTCCTAGCAATTCCTTTAAAAACCTCTATCACTAGAGCAAGAGATGACTGTCTTGGTGTAGGTAAGTAAGTATTTTATCTTTTCCCAAGAATACTGTAGGATGTGCTTGTGGGGAACTTTGTTTGCTATTTTATTCCACTATAGCATAGTCAAGATTTGAAATGTTAACTTCTGTAATCCAAATAGTAATGACCTATATGTTTTTATGCAGAAATACTAGCTTATTTTTTCACAATTGTTTATTAGATTATAAGTAATTTGAGTTCCTATTATCACAGTAATTGCAAAAGTAATAAGCTTGAAACTTTTATTTTTTTTTAAACATTAGTGTAAACTATGTATTAATAATTCCCCTTCCAGGTACAAAACCAAAAGAAAAGTCAAGAGGATCAGAATAGCAATGAATACCACCTCCAAAAGTGGCATTAGTAAAAGAAGCAAGTCCTAAAATAAGCACTGTAATATTTGCACCTCAATATAGCTTTATACTTCTGGAGTTTATTTTTTTTTACTTGCATATCTCTACTCAAGTAGCTACGGCTAGATAATAACAGCAACTAGTAGTAAAGTGATCTAGATCAATGATGTTAGAGCGAACCTTGGGCTGTATTTTCTTCACCCAGGCTCAATTGAAGGAATAAAAGTTAACTTGAATGTGTGTTTTATGTTTTTCTTAAACAAAAGCAGATATAAACTGGAGGTATAATGCCTCATAGTTTACTGCTTATAAAATCTTATCTAGGGAATTCCATTGTTTAGCAACACAAGCACACAGCATATACATTTTGAGCACAGATGGCTTCCCAACTGAGCACTCGTTTTCATTACTGTGCTCTAATATCACAAATCTTTTGTATTTCTTATGTTAAGCTGCTAATGGGCCAATCAAGTAACTTTTTTTAATATACTAGGACTTACTCCTAAGTGTAATACATATTGAGTGAGGAAGACCATATACTTTAAATGTTAAAACAAATTCAAGCAACTTGAGACAATATGTAAACATCTAGTAGCAGCAACATGCTTATGTATCTTCTTAAAGGCTACTGGAGGAGGCATTTGGAAATACTCTAACTATAAAAATCTATGGAGAAAAAAACTTTAAGTTTCTAGCTCTTCTTCCAAAAGAAAAGCTGATCAACTCATCGAGTACTGAGGGGATAACCCAAATATATTCCTATTAGAGAAGGAAAACAGACAGTTTGGAAGAGTGGGGGTGTCTGTGAAAAAGCCAGGAAGCTCCTGCCTGAACCATCTATCATGAAAACTTGCATTTCTCTTACAGTACCAGGAAAAACTAAACAAGTGATTTGCAGAAAGTGTTAGGCAGCCATACTTGTATTTATGGAAGCTCACCTGATTATCTCTGGCCTTACAGAGATAATAAAGGATTTATCATATTGCTGTAACACTAATGTGTACAGACCTTTAGAATGGAGACTGGTGTGGAGTGCATACTGACATTCTTATGACTTCTACAGGAAATTAAGCTCTGCTTAGTCTAAGCCCTGAATTTGTCTGAATGTGTAGAGAAATTACTGCATTCATCTCATCTGTCTACCTGAGAGGTAGGTTAAAAAAGTTATTAAAGTTCAGAGACTGTAATGCAATAGAATGGATAAACCAGTTAGACCTGGTATAGCAGAATTTATTACAACTGTTGAAAAGACAACAAAGTATAAAACTCAAATCAAAATGTTGTTAGTACTCATTTTAAAACTTGTCTCAACATTTGTGCATGTAAGTAGTGAAACTAACTGCTTCACCTTTAGGTATACTTGGTGTTTTTTCCCAGCTACTGAAAGTTTCAATGTGTGATTAGTATGTAAGGGAAACAGGTAAACAAGCACAGGAATATGGGGCAGTGGCTTGAAGAATTACAGATCACTTGTGTAACCACTTCCTCTAACACAAGAAGACAGAGACTAGTACTTGCCACTTCTGATGTGGATCAAATCACATTGTACCTCATGTTGATACTGTAACTGCCATAAGGGAGTATAAAGCCCAAGTACAGAACAGAGCTATTGCACACTTGTTTTTTCTTACTTTTAATGTCTGTGGAAAGCTTACTAGTCCTGTAGTACTTGCAGTCACAGATTTTAACTGGGTGGGTGTATATATGTGGCCCTGCAGTTCACAGACACTGAAGCCTACCTCTGCAAACTTCATTCTTCTGCACTGCTGTTCATCCTTTCAATAACTCTGTTCTCACATACTCTTTCCTAATTTAGCCTTACTAGTATTCAGCCTGCCCATAATCTACTTCATGTGACTTGCCTTGCATTCTGATCTTGGTCTTCTACAACTCAGACTAAGCTTCTAGATTCAATTTTGTTCTGTCTGTAAAGTATCATTACAACTTATGCCATTAAAAAGGTTTTAATTGGCTTGTTATTAAAGGTTTGCAGGAAACAGCTCAGAGCAGTGATTACTTGTTAATTTAAGACATTTTAAAGCCTCAGATATTAGGACACCTTACCATGCCAGGCAATGTACATAATACTGTAGGCAGGTCAAAGAAAAAGCACATCAATACCTGAAGACAAGGTGCAATGAAATGTTTAAAACATATCTGACCTTTCAAAAGGACATCCACCCTGTTAAAATCTACTGACCTATAAAGATTACTACAACACTTTGGGTCCAATGGAAATTCAGTCAGTAGTACCTGTCTCTTCTTGCCTCTAGCAGACATTGGCCTTTTGGACCTTCTCTTCTAGATGCACAAAGCAGACCTGCTTGCTGCCAGGGGGCTAGGATGGGAGGGTTAAAGAGGGCAGAAAAGGACCTAAGCTTTTTTCAGTCCCTGAATAATGTGTGCTGTTTTGCCACAGACAAATGTGGGATGACCCTGCAGTCTACCAGTGCCCGAGGTATGCAGTGCCTCAGCTGTGCACATGGCATTGCTCCATCACTTCATGAAACCAGAATGTTGTACAGTGCTAAAAACACAGTGGCTGGGTCAGACTAGATGATGAAGCCTCCCACAGCCCAGCAAGAATGCTACAAACCATCTGTGTTGTAATCAACTTTCCACCTACATTTTGTTTTTTTGTAAGTGACTTGATTCTCAGAAATTGATGGCAATCCCAACTTAAGCAACTTGACTTGTACAATTTGAGCCTAACCTTTTCCAGTTGTTTCAGGTGCATGTGATGTTTCAGGTTTGCTAATCCAGAAGGCCTATTTATTATGTTGAAATAAAGGACATGGATTTCAACATCTTCCTGAACTGTGTGACTTAAGATGCTTTCTATGAGCTATAGGCTCAGTTTAAAATATTAGCTATGCAGAAACAGCTCTGTGTAAATGCTGCCATAGGAATAAGGAAACCAAAACTTACAACTCCAGCATCCTTGTAAGCTTCTGCCTCTTGACAAGCTTGATCAATGATCTGGGTCAATGAAAAAGAACTTCTTGGTGTCCCTGTAAGAATAAAGCTGCTTACTCCAGGGCACACACAAACCAAGACCCTACACAGGAACAGCTTTCAGGCTGGGTAACTACAAGGACTGGTATACTGAAATAGAGAGAAACAGCCTGCCAAGGGGCAGGTCAGCTGCAGTAATCTGCTCTGCTTACCCTGAGCCCCTGGAAAGTAGATAAGAAGGTCAGGGTGGAACAAACCCTGCTTACTGTCTCAGCTTCTTGTCAGGACCTGTGAGAGCTCTATTCAACACCTGTCCTGTCCCAGCGCTCATTGGTGTTATTTCCCAGCCATGGCCTCTCAAACCACGGCAGCGGAATGCTCAACAAACCAAGCCGTTGTTTTCTCACCGTAGCTCCCACCCGGCAGCGTCTCCTGCCTCCTTTACCTCAGAGCGAGGAGATGCCCAAACCTGAGGCACTTCAGGAGGGCCCGCGGCGCCGTTTGAAGGGGAGGCCTGGCGGGGCCGCGGGCTGTGCCTCAGGTTGTGCCTCGGGGCCTCGGACTGTGCCTCAGGGCCGCGGGCTGTGCCCCGGGGCTTCGGACTGTGCCCCGGGGCCTCGGACTGTGCCTCAGGGCC